GGGTTTGCGCCCGCCGGGCTTGCGGGGCGGCGCGGGGGTGATGCTGCCGAGGGAGGAAGGCGGGCGAGGGCAGAGCGGGACCCCGGCCCAGGCGGCGGGATTCCTTGGAGTCGCCTCGGGGGTGCCCGGGCTGCAGAGGGGGTGTGCGAGTCCTGGAAGTAAGTGTGCAAAACCCAGCGCTGAGCCAGAGCCTCTGCGGTAAGGAGAAGTTAAGAAGGGCAGTAGCGATGAGTCTAACAGGCATTTTTAGCAGCCCGCGCCCCCGAGGTGCGGCGAGACGGGCGGCTCCCGCAGCCCTCCCTCGGGAAGGCGCAGCGCCCCGCTCAGCGAGCACCCAGCCTGCCGTCCGTCACGGCTTCGCTGGCAGCGTGTGCCACTGTGTCCTGTTCTCTGACAGGATTTGCTTTATGTGGTGAAATGTCCCTCTTTAAAGAAGTATTGTAGATAAAACAAGCAAACATTCTGTAAACCTAGTATTATATTATCCTTAGCAAACCGAGTGCCAGCAGCTGCATGACCTACAGTGCTGGTGTAATGGGGAGAGCAAGGAGGTGATGCTTGAGTGCAGTGGGAAGTCTAAACTAATGTGCATGTAAACTACACAGCATTCTGTTGAGGAAATGAAGAAGTCAAATAAACGAAAATCCCAACAAACAGATCAGCTAGAAGAGCTTTTTAGAAAAATGGTTTGCTGAAATGCAGAAATGCTGGGTAAGAAGCAAACTACCTTCATCTAATAGCTGGTTATTTTGCACACTTCCCTTTATCCTCTAAGTTAAGACAGTCTTTAAGAAGTGATCAAGTTCCAAGTTGCACAATATTAACTGCCAAGCTTCAAAACAAATCAATGCAAGGTTAAATCCCAGCCTTCTAGTAACATTGTAATTTTATGGGTTGTTACACACAAAAACTTAAAATGCTTGTTCCTTGCTTCATAAATAGCAATAAAACTTTTCCTACACATCTAATGGGCAGCAGAATCAGTGTTTGTCTGTGTGTAGAGTGGTGGCTTTACTTGAGAACCTGTTGGTGTTCTTGACAGGTAATCTCTACAGCAGGCACATCCAGATAGATGGAGAGATGCTGGCAATTCAAGTCCAAGATACTCCAGGAGTCCAGGTGAGCTAGATGCAGCTGTGCGGTTCCCTAGAGCAGCTCTACACCTGCGTGTGTGTGTGTCTCTCGGCATCTTGTTACAGTCCTTTTCAGAGTCTGGTGCTCTGTGTGGGAGAGTGGTAACTTCTGTTACAACCAGCAAAGCCAGACGTGTTGCATGCCTTTAGTGTGCCAGGAGTGAAAGAAAACAGCTCGCTGCTTGGGTGAATCATTTGCTCACTGGAGGCCTGTACTTTTGAGTGGCTGAATTACTTAAGTGTCTTGTTCCTGTATACTTGGAAGATTAGACACAAACCCAAACATTTCTGTTCAAATAAGGTACATGTGGAATAAAACAATCACTGCCCAACATGCTTCATAAGTGTGCACGACGCAAAGCGAGGTCTGCTGTATTGTGGCTGAGCTCATTAGTGTGACACAAGTTAAAGTTTTGAATGTATAGACCTGAGTAATGTTGGATTGTTGCCTTTTTGAACTGGGCAACACTCCAGGTCTAAATGCTTCCAGCTCATATCTTTGCCTCCCCAGACTTAGTGTCTAGCCAGTTAATTTCCCATTCTGTGGAACTACAAAGTCTTTCTCTGCATGCAGAACTACTCAGGTCAATTTTCCATTTGAGTATAGCAAACTCCAGTGTTAAATTCCAGGTTTTTGCAGCTGAATCAACATATGCGTTTATTCAGCACGGTCACATTAAGTCTGTACTTATAATGTGAAATGCAAATATATATATGTCTGAAACTGTAAAATGTTGTTTGGTTTTACAGACTCTGTTAAAGACAGATTCCTTTCAATCTTTTATCACTTCAGCTATCTAATTTGAGACCATTAATTTTTCAGGTCCATGAGCACAGTCTGGACTGTAATGAGCAGCTGAACAGATGCATTCGCTGGGCAGATGCCCTGGTGATTGTCTTCTCCATCACGGACTATCAGAGCTATGAACTGCTCAGTCACCTCTACCAGCACGTTCGACAGTTGCATCCTGGAAACGCAGTCCCTGTTGTCATTGTTGCAAACAAAGCTGATCTCTTGCATATCAAAGAAGTGGAGCCTCAGCATGGACTTCAGCTGGCCAACATGCTGGGCTGTACTTTCTATGAAGTATCAGTCAGTGAAAACTATAATGATGTCTTCAATGCCTTCCATCTCCTTTGTAAAGAAGTCAGTAAGCAGCAAACAACCAGCACCCCTGAGAGGAGGAGAACCTCTCTCATTCCACGCCCAAAATCGCCCAACATGCAGGATCTGAAGAGAAGGTTTAAACAAGCTTTGTCTGCCAAAGTGAGGACTGTCACTTCTGTTTGACAGCAGAGCTGTTGGTCTTCCTAACATTTAGCCCAAGATTGAAAACTGGGGTGTTTAACACTGGCACATCTAGAGTCTGAGGCATTGTGAAAGAAGGATGGTTCAGGTAGCCTGAACCATTTTCTGGCTGCAGAAACAAGCAGTTTCTTATAAAAGGAACAGTGGCAGATCAGAAAAGAAAAAAAAATACAGAAACTCTTGAAATGGTTCTAGGATGTGACTTGTAGTATCTGTTTTCGTTTGGAAAAGGAACTTCCCCGTAAATGAAACAAGCTTTTAGTTTCTCTTTTGCAATTGGACAGATTTGGCTTTCGTTTGTGCAGAAACAACCTTTTGGCTGTAACTCAACTTGTATGAGCAGGGAGATACCATGAACTGCAGTTCACTGATCAGAATTAACCACTTGAGTCTTGTTTTCACTTGGATGAAGACAGCATGATGCAGCTGTTCAATTTTATTGCATAGTAGAACTATTTGTTTCCCATGTAATTCAAAACAAATAAGCAAACATGAAATTGTTCTGTAAAAATAAGTGTAAAATAAGTGGACAAGGACTAGGTACCAAAACTGTAAACAATGGTCCTTTTTTTTTTACTAGCTATGTTATGTCTGAAAACTTGACCTGTCTTTGTATGCAAAACTATTGTCCACAGGGTGTAAACTTACCTAATTAGAAATAACTTGTAGGGTTTTTGCTGTCTGAAAAAAAATACTGTCCAGACTGAATGATCCAACACAGAGCTTTTGAGGCCTAAGTGTGAGTAGGAATGATAGTCTGTTATATACAGCTTGGTGTGAAACATGGCTGGCTCTGGGCAATGAAGCTGGTTGCTTGTTCTGAGCTGAGCCAGCCCCTCTTCATCCTTACATGTTAAATGTATATACATTTTTATTTTTATTTTACATTGAGCCAATAGAGTTCACAGCCTAAAGGCCCTATACACATGCACTTTAAAAAGCCAGTTGTGCTTTTGTTTAAACTGTAACTTATTTATTTTGTGTTCAATTACTCCTTCTAGGGAGTGGACTTTCCATTCTTACTGCCTGGTTTGACATTAAATTTTTGAATTGCTTGTTTTCTTGTGTGTTCTTCATGGATGAGAAACAATGGGCAATAACCAAAGTAATAGTTTTCTCGAGGTAGTTAATGTGCATTGCAGAAACAGTCAGAAGGACTTTCCTGCCTATACTGTTGTCTTATTAGCATAAACCACAGGGGGTGAGCTCTCACAACTGCTTTACAACTTCCTTTTAAGAAATTCTCTCAGGAGAGAAATGGAATGTGGCAGAGACCTTTCAAATGAAAATAGGATTCTTCATTTCCCCCTGTCAAAACTCCAGTGAGAAAAGAATGGTGTGAGGTAGGTCAAGTCTTGTAAGTGACTGCCACTTTCTTATTAAAAAAGAAAAAAAAAGCTTTATGTATTGAGGTATATTACAATGAAGACCTGAACCAAATTGCAAGTATTCAGCCTTTCTATTCATGCTTATAGTAGCTTTACTGGGAGCCCTCCTGAGGAGGATGTTTGTGCTATGACTGGGGTGACTGCTGTGCACACCCAGCTGAGTGACCAGCTGGTTGTCACTCAGCTGGAGTCCCTGCTGCAGGGAAACCCTGACAAGGTCCTGCTGATGACAATCCTTTTGACCATGAGCTACTAGTCAAATGATTTGGGTCTGGACTTGCAAACAAAACTGAGCTTGCCCTTCCATTACCAAATACTGCTTAGCTTATTAATAGAGTAGTAAACCCATCTCTGAAGGCTGGCTTTGTGTTTTTTCCTCTTCCTACCTTTTGAGTATTGCTTAATGTCACACACGGGGGGCTTAGACACTCCTTGTTGTGGTCCTGCACCTGCTCAAAGTCTCTTCTATACTGTTTCTACTCACATGCAATTGGCAGATCTCTTATGCCTGTGGTCTTTTGCCTGAGCATAGGCTATTGTGCAGCTACTACAGCTATTTCCTACAATTAAGGAGTTATTACACTAGGGACACTGGAAAAGTTCCAGTCTTGGTCTAGAAGAGGAACAGGCTTTTGTGACTATCTTCTTTCATCTCTTCAGCTACTTGAGCACAGGATGGTGGCTGAGGCCCAGCACCTATTGCCACAGCTGTGGCCCACTGGCTGAAAAGATTCCTCTAAATTGTGTGTGGGCCTGGAAAACTAGCTAGTCTGCATCAGTCAGAGGTGCTGTTTGACCCACAGGAAGTGCAAGAGCACCACTGCCTGCTTAGACTCACCTCCTCCCTGCTTCTCACTCTCCTATACAGTATGCCCGTAGATGGCCAAGTCAGAGTTGTGAGAGCATATGATGAAAGACAGCCAGGTGAGGGAGAGAAGAACACAGCTGCCAGCCTCCATCGTTTCAGGAAAGCAGCAGCATCTCAGAGGTGTCAGTACCTGAACTCACTGGCCAGCAATGACCACTGGACGTAGGAGAGCCTTTCTGCTACCAGCAGGGTGTGGAAAACCATCTAGAGCACCTCTCAAGACAGAAGGTCTAGATTCTTAGGGGAAATCAGATAATAAAAAAAAAGAGGGATTTCAGGACTGCACAGTCCTGGCATGTGTAGCCCTGTTGTACTAGGAGAGAAGGAGACTTCTTCTGTCTCTCAAGATAGAAGGTCTAGATTCGTAGGGGAAATCAGATAATAAAAAAAAAGAGGGATTTCAGGACTGCACAGTCCTGGCATGTGTAGCCCTGTTGTACTAGGAGAGAAGGAGACTTCTTCTGTCTCTCAAGATAGAAGGTCTAGATTCGTAGGGGAAATCAGATAATAAAAAAAAAGAGGGATTTCAGGACTGCACAGTCCTGGCATGTGTAGCCCTGTTGTACTAGGAGAGAAGGAGAAGATGGGTGAGGTTTGGCATTGTAAGAACATTGCTTTATTGATTACAGAATTTATGAAACATTCATATTCTAAGATTGAACAACACAGAACGACAGAAAAGAAACCAAGACACTGGCTATTTACTCTCCAGTTGCTCTGTTCAAACTATTTCTTGAGCTTTAACATTGAAATCTCTTAATATTTCTCATTTTTTATAGCACAAAGTTCCATTCTATAATCATTCTTATAAATCTATCTTCCACAGCGGTGACATTGTCCATGCTATATAATCGGTCCATTGTTTCCTTCCAGCCATTCAAAAATGAATTGAAATCAAAATGCAGCCTTTTCCGAAGACCACTATAAACATTTAAGAGGACTTAGGCTAGCTTGTGAACGAAGGTTAAAAAGCTACTTCCCATTTAATCTACTCCTTTGGCATAATAAAGAATGCTATGATAGAATGAATGTCACAAAGTCACATTCTCAGTGTAAGCTGTAGTCTTAGCATCCCTTGGATGGAGCAAGAGGATGCAGCTTTAGAGCTCCACCATTTTTTGCTGCAATTCAAAAGTCTTGTCCTATATGCAATTGCAATCACAATCTCTATTGGCTGCTGCTTTTTTATCACAGATTGTAGCAAAGTTTTAGAAAGAAAAATTACATAACTGAATTTGATAGCAGTTCTCTCATGATCATAAATTAAAAATAAAAGCTGTTCTCTAATGAAGAAATCTAGCTCAAGAAAGAATCTGTCGCTGCAGCCTTTTGAAAGTGGGATAGTGCTTTTTTTTTTTTCCTTCTTCTTTTTTAAATGCATGGGAGGGGAGGATTCTTCCAAGGTTATGATCAAACTACCACAGCCCATATGTTCTCCTGCAGAGAAGTGTGCCATCAGGAACAGTCTTTTCTCCCAGGGCTGTGGGTGGAGAAACTAGAGCAGGAAAAAGGACGCTGAGAGAGAAGCAGCCACATAACCTTGCCCTTGGGTCTCGCTCTCCACTTCTCTGCATCTACCAGTCCCACTGGGACAGCATCATCAGACCAGCAGATGCTCTGCTGGCTAAATCAGCACTGTGCTCCATGACCTCTCTGGGTGAGGAATGAAGTAAGAGCACTGTATAAGGCACATGTGTTCTGCAAGGTAGCATGACAGAGAGGGTGGATTTTGCTAGCCTTTCATTCCCTCAGCAGCATTTCTCACCAGAAGCAACCCCAGTGAAACGATCAGGAACACTCAGAGAAAAAAGTGCTGTTTGGGGAGTATAAATTCATTATCACCTGGTCCTCAGCTGCTCCTTTTCTAAGGAATTATTACAAGCCATCATCCCATGCCTGAGTGGGGCTGGGGGTGATTCAGCACACCACAGTGTTACCAAGGTGGACAGGAGAAGATGTTGCTGGACAACTGGACCATTTTGAAGAGCTGCCTGTGAGCTGCACATGTTCCCTTACAGCCAGATACCCAGCCACTTCAGCTGGAGACATAACTGCAGCAGGGAACATGTCTTTTTTTTTGGAAGGCTCGTGGTAAGAGTGACAGACCAGGGATTTGATGTTTCCAGCTGAGACACCCATTCCTCTTCTCCACAGATTCTCCCCCTATCAGATATCAGAGTCAGGCTGGAGATGGTCTGTGGCAAACAACAACTCAACAGCACTATGCGGTGTCAGGAGTGCAGAAGACAGCACCATTACCTGAAAGGAGGGAAACAAGAAACAGCAAGTCAAAACGAAGGGGACTGAGACTGATCACAGCACTAATAAGCCATGGATATAAACTGTTTGCCTCACCCAGCACTAGATAGGCTGTGTGTTTCTGTTGTTTACTGACAGGGCAATGCAGCTTGCCCAGTGAAACTGTCTGCTCACTAATAACTGTAGTTAAATCACTTTAAGGAACATAATGACTGGTAGCATTGTACTCTTAATGAATGTGTGCTTTGACTCATTTCTACCCACATCTTATAGGGTGATTTGTTGTGACTGCCATTGTGTTTACTGTGAAGCAGCAGCTGATGAAGCAGGGCTTTCCTCTCCTATAGCACAGTTTGTAGTGATGCCTGTGTCCTCTCAGTGGAAGGTAAGGTGAGCACCACAGAAGTGCCACTGGCCTACTGCAGGGAGCTGCAGTCCCTGTTTAGAAAACTTTCTTCAGGCCAGGCACAGGCTCTTCCGCACAGCTGGACCAAGGCTCAACCTCAAGCCTTGTCAGGATGCTGTTGCTTTTGTTTGTTCACATTTTTAATCCAAGATGATGAATTAATGGATGATGGATTTAATCCTGATGAATGAAACTGCTGGTTGCTACAGCCATGATACACACCCTGCTAGATGCAGGTATCTGTTTTTCTTAAGAGAAAACCAGTATGGTGCCTAGCGTGAGGGCTTCTTAGCAGGGCAAAGCTACCAGCAAGGAGCAAGCACATGTGTTCTTGCTGCATGGAGCTCACTCAGGGTCAAGGTTGTAAGATACTGCTCTTAGAAAGCTCCGAGTTCAGCAGTGTCCGTAGGGTCAGGACTGCAGGCTGGGGTGTGGGGGCAGATTTATTTTACTATCCCACTTGTACAAGAATTTGCTTCTTTGGTGCAGATCCAAGGAAAAGTAGCAAAAGCATCAACAGTGGAGCATGTCCATGTGTCTGTTTCCTGCAGTAGATACCAAATTGCTTGTGCTCTTCATCGCACATCTTAAATGTACAGTAGTGCTGCATTTCAACTTTTTTTTTGTTGTTCTTTCATCTTTTCAGTTCAAATAATGAAAGGAATCTGGAGTTAAGTTACTACAGATCCCTTCTGTACCGATGATAGGCTCGCCCTCACTTCTCCCCTTCCCTTGTCCTCCCACACTGGCAAACTGACACTGATTATCTCTTCTCCTTCCTTTGCATGAAAAACTCACTGTAATTTGCAGACGCCAAAGGCTGACACTGTCTTACTTATGTTACGTGAGAATCAAGAGTATAGCACAGTATGTGCTCATCTTGTTATCACACAGCTTAATTCTGAAAAACACGAGAGGACACGTTACCAAAATCTTCTGAGTGTACAAGCCAAACACCAACAATAGGCACTGCCAGATAAAAGCATTTTTTTCTTGGAGTCCCAACACTGAACTCTGAGGGGATTTGTGCAACTAATAGCAAGCCCAGAGAGGAAAATGAAAGCTGAAACTTTAATGTCTGAGAAAGGAGGCAGTCAAATACAGTGGGACTTCCCTCCTTTCCCCCCAGTATCTCTGAAGGGTCACTGAGGGGGATAAATGTGAATATTTGTTCCTTCATTTATACAGAGAAGGGCAGGATTGCTCAGATATGTAATGTCCACCTCTTCTCCTGGCAGGTCTCTTCAGGACAGTGTATCTCCTTTGCAGACCTTCCTGTTCAGTACAGTGTATCTGTCTTTGGTGCTTCACCTGAACGGCAGCTGAGGTGGAAGAGCCAGGAGACCCCATTCCAACCCATCGTGCTGCATCGGGCAGTGCCCCCTTAGCAGAGGGCAGGGAAGGATGCAGCTAACATCTGATGGTGCGTCTGGAGGGGTTTTATCTGTCTGCCTGCCTCAGATGGTTGTGCTTGATAGGAGGGTGAAACATCCACTCAGGCTTTTTCCCCTTTTTAACTCTTCTCATTAAAGCAGGAAAAAAACAATGATGTAATTGTACAAAAAATGTAACATTGTAGGATAGTTCTCACTAGATTAGGGGAGCTATTTACCACAACCCAAAAACAAATGATGTGTAGGAAAGGCTGCATTCCTTTGTGCTCCCCCATAAGAAATAAATTTGTCATTCATTTCAGATGCAGAGCAGTTCTGTAGATGGAAACATGTCTCTCCCACTCCACATTTAAATGTCATTTGCTTCAGCTCCAAACAATTGCTGAAGTAATCAGCATGTCCTGTCAGTTTTTCTGTTACTTTCCTCAATTCTTTATTTTTGCACCCACACGTCTCTTCATTTCTCCAAGAGCCAACAATTAGTATAAATGTCAGTGCTTTGTTTCACTCAAAGTGACTTGGAAGGCCAGTGTTCCCCTGATGCCTGAATCTGATTGCCCGAGTGCCAAAAAAAGCTCTGCTAAATGCTGGCTTGAGTTAAGACTAATACCTGGCTTTTTGAAAAGAGAATAATCCCAAACAGGTGGCACATATTCACAGCTGTAGTGCAGAAATCCAGGTAAATCCAACAAACTCATAAACTTTTTTTATATGGGAGACTTGCACAACTGCTTCTTTTCTTGTTTCTCTTCCTCCTCCCACTTCTCCCCCCTCAAGTCCTTTCACCTCTAACACAGCACATTTGGACAAAGGGCAAGATGCAGTAAAAGCTTAAAATTCTTTAGAAATCTGCCTCAGAAGGTGACCTGCTGCCAGGGTTAAGCTAAAGCAAAGCAACACCAGATCCCATGTCACCACTGTCAAGCCTCAAGTCCCTCTAGAAAGCCAGTCAAAAATCTCCCTGCATAGTTCTCAATCTACTCATGTGTTAACCCCTCTGCTTATCTTTCAGGGTGTATTAATACATTTTGGGTGTGGATTAACTTGTCCATCAGTGTCTCACAACTCAATCCCCCTTCAAGATGGGAAAGAATTTTATTTGATGTTTTGAGGAGATTAGCAATAGGCCAACTGGGGAGAAATGTATTAACAGATAAAAAAAACATTGCTAAAAATGACGCTTATGAAACACTGCTTTGCAAAGACAACTAAAACAGGGGGAAAATATGTCAAACCCAGGGGCTGCTCAGCCTTTGCTTGGTTCCATTTTGCTAATGATTTCTCACAAATCAAAACTGCATACCATAGGAGTTGAAAACAAGATGTTTATAAGCCACCCTGGAAACTAGACCTAGGTTTACGATGCAGCTGATTACACAGCACTTCTTTGCAGTTTTCAGATAACCCTGTAGATCTGCACTACTCTGCAGATACCTGGTTGCTCTTCTACACACTCCTCCACAGTTAAAAATTCTTTTTAACATCTCAGACAGCACCAGAGCTCATCCATCCTCCTCCTCTCCCTCTCCACTCCATTCAAATGACAGTTGCTGTAGTCAAGTTCTGCTGCCAGAGAGTGGAAGAGGCAAAGACCAGCTGCACACATGCTAATTGAAGCTTCACCATGGGAGTCTTCCTCCTCCCAGAAGCCTGACATCCAAAGTCTGCCAACACTTGGGGCTTTCTCCACATCACCTGCTTCAGGTTACTTAAGGCACCTAGCACTCAGGTATCCTCCTCAACAATGCCAATTCAGCTGTCTGGAGGATCATCACTGACATGTCACTGGCTGATACCCAGACCCTTGGCTGGGCACTGCCAGGGAGCCTGTAGCCTTTTGGAAAGCAAATGTTTTTGTTTATAAAGAATACCAAGAAATTAATAATTTGGGACATGATGAAAGCTCCTTCAGAATCATGCCAGATTGTTCTGAACTCTCCAGCCTGAGTTTGAACTTTTATTGCTGATTCTAACATGTGAAAAACAGACTATTGGTGATTTAATACTTGTTGCTTACAGATGTTTCACAGCAAAATCCTAAGACCATTCCTGTTCAAAGGGCTGTGGCTTCAAGTAGGTTTGGTACCAGTGCTATAGGGAACATTATTTGATGATTTTTCTGAGTCTTTGTTCAGGTGGGAACTGTATATTTAGAGCTCTTTTTACCTGGGTTCCAGGTTTGCGAGTCACTACCAGATCCTTCACCATTTTGGCCTCAGAGACTGTCACTCCACCAACCATAAAGATGATCAGAAGAGGATGATCACCAGGGTGAGGGCGATTCACCTGTAAAATGAAGGAAAGCATTATTTGTAGTTGCTCAGTCCAACTCCAAACCTATGGACTAACAGTGATCACCTCCCTGAGCTGCTGGAGGAAGACTAATGAGGAAGCTCAGAAAGAAATATTCATGGAATGCTGGTTTCTATAGCAGGTGGGAGGGAAACCAATGGGGATGAATCCCAAGTGAACGGTTTCCAGGGAAATGTTGTCTTCACGGTTTCCACTGAAACCTAGAGGAGTTCTCATGAGGTCTGAGGGCTTCTTCTTCCATTCCCTCTTAGTTTCTTTCCCAGAGTGGCAGGAGAATACTTGGGTGGATGTACAGTTTGGAAACAAATATGCATGGGGCTTTAAGGAATGAGGGGCAAATCACCAACCAGCAAAAGTAAAGAATCCCACCTAAGCATGCTAAAATCCCTGCCTGAGGTCAGCAATGGAGAGAATTATCAGTGATGTGCTTTCACCATTCCAGCAAATAATCCTGTACAATTCATCCAATGAAAATAAATCAAGCTCATTGTATTATAAAATCAGCTTCTAGCTTGTTTCACTTGAGAGTTTTTAATACTTCTGTGACTGGGTTGTAATTAATATAGAGAAACTTCAGCTCAAACAAAATACTTGCTTCATTTTTCCCCAGTTATCATCAACATGGCATAAACATTCCACTGCAGTTAAGACTTTATAAAACCATGTTTAATTTTAAATGTGATGATGATGCTTTACATTAGTTTCCTCTTAACCACTTCTAGAAGCTTCACTACCATGCTGTTTCCTAGCAAACTTTCTTTCTTGATGAAACACACTACCCTGACAATGCCTTGCTCCCGTCTTTGGTGCTGATGTGAATGGAGCCTGTGCAATTGCTCTTGCCACACCGCCTTTGAGCATGATCCAAATCTTTGGCTCCGAAACCTGATGGTGAGAACAATTTAATTTGCTCCTTTTCAGACTCTCTGGCCCCTCTCCTGCCACAAGCCTAGGTTTTTGACAGCCTTCACTTGACAGAACAAATGTGGGCATCAACCCACATTTGGGCAGAGCGTAGCTTCTCTGCTCTCACCACCACGGCAGCTATCTTTGATCCCTGTAGCTCCAGCTCCTGAGGGTACGGATCTCCTCTTCCATGTTGTGGCTGACTTATGTTTAGTTTTTAGGCAGTTTTCCATCCTGCAGCTCTGTCAGGCTTTCTGACTGGCAACCTTCAGAGGAGCTTTTTGACTTTGAAGCAAGCATGGAGGCATGGTGTGTTCTTTCTCTAGGCCAGCCGGCCTTTGATAAGACAGGGATCCTTGCTCAATGCTGCTCCCCAGGCAGGGAGCACTTCAACTCCCTGGGAGCTTGAAAACAGCACAGACAGCCTTAGATAGACGTATTTGTGAGCTGAGTATGTGTGTGCTGGGTGTTTATTCTTTTAATCACCCCCACTTCACCAGCCATCTTCATTGAGCCCATGGCACAGACAGCATACACACTACAATTCAGCTGAGTGTCCTGCAATTCTGGTCTGATATTGAGCAATTTTACATTTACACCAACAAATCAATTAAATGGATACACCAGAGTTTACAAAGACTTCCTTTATGCAGTTTCCCACGTCAGACTACTCGCTTCTTACTATCTGCATGTAATAAAGTGTCAACCTCAAAGGAGAAAAAGTCCGTCCGTATTACAAACACCATGAGGAGTTTAAGCAAGACCTAAATATTTACTTACAGAGCAGGTCAGACGGGACGGAGCTATTACTTGCTAAAATATTTGAGTATTTCATGCCACAATTGCTGTAAACAGTGACACAATGGTAAAGAAATAACTGCTCACAAAGATGGTGAAAATAAAAGCTGACAAATTGGTCTGCTACAGCACTTCAAGGTAATACAGGAATTACTGGTTTACTCTTTTTCATGGGTCTTTGCTCTTCTTAATCATATTGCCAGAGCAAAGTGCTCCACTCCATCTCGCAGAGCTTCTGAAGGACCCAAGGCATATGCAAACAGCTTGAACTTCAGAAGCTTACCACTGAATAAAGCCTCTCTTTCCTAATGTCTTTCCTAGTGGCAACAAACTCAACATAAACATGCATGCATAACATTGGACACATTGAAAGGACACTCAATGTAAGAGTATTAATTAGAAAGCACAAGCTTTCATGGCAATACTAAAGAGAAAATGTCTCAACAAATCATTTTCTTCAGTCAAAATAAACCTAGATCCAAACACATGGTGCACATATAAAATCTATTATTTTTTCAGAAGACTAAAGTTCAAACCACAAACTCCAGAAATGCATATTAAAAATACTATTAGGCATGCAAACTCCAAATTAAATTTGCAATGAAAAGGGTCTTGGAATTTGTAATTTTGTTATGCTATGCACAAGTGTTTTGAAGGAGGACAATACTTTGGGTACAAAATATTTGGCTGTCTTAAGAATGCAAGATTCTGCCAAGATTTTTTTGTTTGATAATACAACCAGCCAAGGCTCTCTCTTTTGAAGGAACTGACCGTATGCAGCTAAACACAGCTCATTTCTGTGATACAGAGGAAGAACTGAAATGGACTGCAACAAAAGCAACATATATCCTTCTGAAGTTTGGTTGTTTTGCAACATTTCTGAGGCCTCTTAATCTCATTTACTGTGAAATCTGTATTTTGTAAGAATCCTGAAGAGAAATTCACTTTCAGTTCAAAGTGCCACACACTCAAGAAGATGGGACAGTTATGTTGGGCAATGACAAAGACTAACCAGGAAAAAAACCAAAACCACTATATTAAGTGAAGGAGCCTAAAGAAAGAAGGAGGAATGGTTCCATCAGCTAGCAGAGCTAGCTGGACGTCAGCTTTTTGTCCAGCTCTGAGCCTACCCTGACTGCATTTCCTCAGGATGCTGATGGGTAGAGGACTCATTGCTGGTGCATGTGTCTGCATAGAGGAAGGGGAGAGGGGGGACGGGAAAGCAGGGTGACAGTGGTCAAGAGATCTCTAAAACTGATGCAGGAAGGGGTTGGAGTAAAGGTTTGTTCTCATGGCAGATCACAAAACACAGCCTTTTCGTCTCAGGAAAGTCAGCAGAAACAACATCTACTGCTTCACTAAGGCTATCTCTGCCAATCAGGACACCAGCACCAATGCATCTGGTATTTGTGATCAACCAGAAACCAATCAATGTAGCTGAATAACTGGAAAAAGGGAAACACATTGATCACCAGAAACTAGACTGCCACTTGCTGATGACACTAAACTGGGAGGAGTGGCTGACACACCAGAAGGCTGCGCTGCCATTCAACCTGGGGAAGAACAAACCCATGTCCCAGTACAGGTTGAGGGCTGACCTGCTGGAGAGCAGTGTAGGAGAAAGGGACCTGGGGGTCCTGGTGGACAGGAGGATGACCATGAGCCAGCAATGTGCCCTTGTGGCCAAGAAGGCCAATGGCATCCTGGGGTGCATTAGAAAGGGTGTGGTTAGTCAGTCAAGAGAGGTTCTCCTCCCTCTATTCTGCCTTGGTGAGGCTGCATCTGGAATATTGTGTCCAGTTCTGGGCCCCTCAGTTCAAGAAGGACAGGGAACTGCTTGAGAGAGTCCAGCACAGAGCCACAAAGATGATGAAGGGAGTGGAACATCTCCCTGATGAGGAAAGGCTGAGGGAGCTGGGCCCCTTTAGCTTGGAAAAGAGGAGAGATTTTCCTTCTGCTTTGACTCATGGCAAATTGACACACTGCAAGGTTCTGTATGAAGTCACAATAAGTTACATACTTATTGTGAATCAAAATAGTCACAGCAATAAAACAAACATTAAGTTTGACAGATAAGGCAGAGATACAGCACCCCAGCGGTGGGGGTGGGGGAATGAGGGTGGGGGGGAGGGCTACCCTGTTACTTATTTGCATAATTAGTTTCCTTTAACTAAGACATTGCTGGAGAGGAGCAGCAGCAGTTCAAAACATCATTTCCCAGCTCAGACCAAGAGGGCAGATGAGACCTCACTCAGATCAGTGAGACTTCCCAGCCTTGACATGACACAGGTGGGAATCAGAACACTTTGCTATTACATGTTAAGGTAACCAAACCCAGGTTGTACTCCCTACAACAAAATGTTATGAAAATACTGACCTGGCAGCAGCTTTTTGTGTAAGGCTTAAAAGGGATTCATGCCTTGCCAAAAACAATACACAAACAAGGAGCAGAGGGAAACTAAAAAGACTGCAGCTGATACATGGTTCCAATAGATCCACTCATGCAGCACAGGAAGCAGCAATGGCTCCAGTCTGGGGGGGCCTTAATGTCATCTTACAGTTCTTGGCATTGCTTTTAATAATTTTCACTTTATTATTACTATAAAAATACATCCTAGAGTTAAAACATCTTTATTGTACATGTACATGTAGCTGGGTCTCTTTAGCTTGCAGAAGAGGAGACTGAGGGGCGACCTCATCAAAGTTTACTAAAATGTTAAGGGCAAGTGTCAGGAGGAGGGAGCCAGGCTTTTTTCAGTGATGTCTAGTGATAGGAGAAGGGGCAATGGGTGCAAACTGGAACATAAGAGGTTCCACGTAAACATCAGAAAAAACTTCTTTACTGTGAGAGTGACAGAGCACTGGAACAGGCTGCCCAGAGAGGTTGTGGAGTCTCCTTCGCTGAAGACATTAAAAACCTGCCTGGTCAAGTTCCTGTGTGATGTGCTCTGGGTGACCCTGCTCTGGCAGGGGGGTTGGACTAGATGATCTTTCAAGGTCCCTTCCAACCCCTAGGATTCTGTGATTCTCTGCACTTGGTCTCAATGGTACCAAGCTCAAATCATCATAAACTACGAGTTTTAGAGCATCAGTCAAAAGAGGAATCCTTGCAGCAGGGAGGTCTTTTCCCTTCACCTTCCTTAAGCTTCAAAGAGAACACATCCACTAGGGAAACAACTTCTGGACAAGAGGTATCGTTAAAACATATCTGGATGAACATGTCTGAGTCCACCACTTATCAAAGCATGTTTATGTCAGTTGGCACTTATATTCAGGCATTGAGGAAGAAATAAAAATATAAGGAAGGTCTTAAAATAATTACAGTGCTGATGGTGCAGTAAGTGGAGAAGATCCTCTTGTGTGAGAAGTACAGGTTGGTCAGAAACTCATTCAAGTAATAACTGAGCACTTGCCAACAAGCCAGGCTACAAACTAAACGAGCAAGCACAGAGACATGGGTGAGGTATGTGATGATGTCTACGAAATATTCATCCTACATAAGGTTCACTTGCTGACCTGTTATATATTCCTTTCAGTAGAATTTTTTTCTTACTAGCAGAGATGCAGGTGCTTACAGGCATACATTTCCATAATAAACTTAATATTTTTATGTAATACTTTTCAGTGGAGAACTCAGGATATGCAGTAAGGCAGAGATGACAGTACAGCATGCCAGCTACTCCACACTTCACCTCTGTAGACATTTACTGAACATTTAGCATAGGCTAATTTATAAAGCAGAGTAAGCTCTTGTAGAAAGATTGTCTTAAAACATGCCAAGAGCATCCACAAGGCAACTTCTGACTAATAGGCATCTTTCCTCCCCACTGAAAGCTGAACCGTATCAAGTTACAGAAAAGGCACTGAATATGGAGCTTCTCTGACAGCCTTTCTTCCCTGTGAGACCTGACCTGCTAATACTTACTTCTCTCCCATCTCAAGGCTGCTCAGTGTCCTTAAAATCCTTTGATGAGGTGCCTTGCAGAACGTCTTTTGGAAATCCAGTGGCATTCACTTATCAATTTGTTTGTTGTGTGTCTCTGATGAGCTCCGAAAATTATGCAAGGTAAGACTTCCCTTTAGCAAAGCCACACTGCCTCCTCCCAGACACAACATCCTTATTTAGGTGTCCAGCATCACCCTTATTTAGGTGTCCAGTCTGCTCCACTCCTCTTGTTTTGTTCAGCAGTACTCTACCTGTAATGTGATGCCTCAAGTATTCCCAGTCTCGTTGCTGGGATTTAACTCTCCTAGCTGCCCCTTAAATTCTGCTGAACAATAGCAACACAAATACATAACATCAGCTATGCTACGACCTCAGGACAGTCTTGCAGATGAGCTTGGGAAGCCTGATTTACCTTCATGAACATGCTAAATCCAGTTTTAAGGAGATCAGTGAGGCCTGATGACATGTGCTCAATATCAACAGGATCAGGTCGATCAGGATTGCAGATCTCTTCCACTATCTGTTTCAGCAGCGGTTTGTAAGAAGCCTGCACAAAAAGAACAATGCACTGTGACTAAAACTGTTTAGACTTGGTGTAACTGCTGTTTTAAGTGTTTTATTTCCATTAAAGGTACACAAAAATAATAATCCTAGAAAGGAAGCCATTCAGAGAGTTAAAAAGTTACCAAGGCAGCAGTGGATTTCATGACTGTGACTGCAAATGGTGTGCACCAGCACAGCATCAAACAGAAAAGAGAGGAAGATGGACACACATTTACTCTGCCCCATTTGTATTATATGAGTAAAGGGATACAAGGAAGAAAGGGGGTTTCTAGTTTCTCTGGGATCTTTTTGGAGGTGGTACAGAAAGATATAGCAATAGGGATTACATGCTGTTGCTCATCATGCACCCAGAACATTCCCTTTGTCATTATTTAAAAAACACTTAAACAGGGATTTTTAGGAGGAGCTGCTTACTGACCACTCCTGCCTTCCCACAGGTGTCATGTCAACACCGAAGCCTGGATATCACCAGGGCTGGGAAGAGGCAAATCTGTCTGTTTGTCCCTCACGGGAGAGCAGAGCTAAGGAGTACTTGTTAGTCCTTCAGCTTCTACGGCCAGGACACTCTACATAATACTCCCACCTGTGGAAAACCTTGAAAAAATAGGCCAAGAAACCCCATTGATATAATGCATGTCAGAGTTCCAGAGAAGTTAGGCACCAGAAAAAGTGAAACATGTAAAGGTACAAATGATCAGAATCCTGGATGATCCACCCTTCATTCTCTTCAGGGTCCACAAATCTGTGCTGAATATGAATTACTAGCCTAGAAATTTCCACATTCCCTTAATAAAGTTTAAACCACTCTTCCATCCTGAAAACGTTTCCAAGATAAAAACTCTAGGGAGTTGTTGGGAGATGCTCTAGAATGAAAATTTGACCTTGGATTACAGATGGAGTCTTGTTTAAGTGCTTTCAACTTTGCCCAAACTGCAACAGAAACAAAATCAGTTCAGGAAGTGCAACCGTTTTAAAAAACCACCAGCTTTCAAATTAGCACATTTGTTTTCCTTTGGGACTAGTCCAGGTATACATCATCCCCTAGATTTTTTTTAAGGGAACCAAGTGTAACATCATTCATTTTGTAAAGATTATATCTACAAGACACATCACACAAGATGAACAAAAAAATGGATGGAAAATAAAAAGCAAGCTGCTTGGCTTGAAACTAAAATTTTCTGGAGTAATTAAAGAAATGTTTTTCATCCAACACTTTACAGTGAGAAACAAAACTTACAGTTTTTAATACAATCCTGTCAATGAAGATTTATACAACTCATCTAGTCCTTCTCACAACGTATGCATAAATTTTAACTGAGCCAACAACGCAAATTACAGCAGACATGAGCTGCAGGATCTTTCAGGAGAACAAGCCAAGACTTGTGTCAAATCTAGTCACACAATAAACAACTGTTTGAAAATACACATGCAGGCATGAAGTCCTGTGTTTAAAAGTCTGTTTGATATCTTCATTGATGAGGAACAGAGAGACATTAGGAATGAAATATTTTTGGAGTACACACAGTACTAGGGTACAGTAATCACAGTTAAACAGAGGCTTAGTGTATGAAATTAGAGGAAAAATACTATCTGATTTCAGACAAAAGGTACTAAAAAGATTATGAAATGTGCTATGATTTTGCATGTCTAAAGCTGTTTCACCAAAACTCAGTGCAGTTCAAAATTATCCAATTCGGCACAGATACTAAAAGGCAGCTTCAATGATCACTTACCCTTTTTTAGCTGTGATAATTTAAAATATTTTCAAAATATTTTATGAATTGAAATTTGTCTTTTTAAGGAGTTTTAACTTCATTTTTTATATTACACCCAATAGCTGTATTGATTGCTAACTCATAATGAAACTGACACCAACTTTAAATTTTGGTGGGACACAAACTACATTTAAAAGAGTTGTTAAGAGCCTTAGGACATACCTCAGACAAGATTATAAGGAGAAAAGGAGAGAGAAAAAGAGAGAAAGAGAAAGAGAATGAGAAAAGTAGAGGGAGGGATGGAGGAAGGAAGAGGGATAGAGGAAAGGAGGAATATGCTTGAGATCACGATGAAAGGAAAGGAACAGTAGTTACAGTATCAGGCAAATAAATACTCCCCTCTTGCATGGTTGCTACATGAAGTGGTTTGATAACCTGACAAAAACATTCATTCATTATTTTATGTAAGACACAAAACTTCAATGCTACAAAAAGTCATTCTAAAAGCCTATCCAACTCCCACTAACCTATATAAACCTTTTTTGAGTCTTAACAAGAAAATAAAGGCTTCCCAGCTCCTAACAGATCAAGCAGAAAAGCACCCATAAGTTAAACCCATTCCCATAGCACTAAGGGAGCCAGGCAGGGAGCATATGGCTACAGGCAAGGGACTGTTTCTTCAGAGGAGCTAAATGGGTCACATGCCACCCACATATTAACACCTGCCAGTCAAAAGGGAGATCTATTTGTAGAGAGCTGTATGTATAATGGAAAAATCCTCATACTGCCTGTTATTTCTGCTACTTTAAACTCCTGCAGTGCCCTCAGCAGAAGGCTGGTCTATTCAAGCACTTAGATCCACTGCACAGCCAGATTGGGGAGCTGCAAGGTGTTGCTGCATTCCAACTCTTGGCCTGCAGCAAACAATGCAGATTACATCCAAAGAACATACTGATGCTAATTATACTTCCAGGAAACTTCAGAGAATATTTTTTTATCATTTGACTGGCCCCCCGACTGAACTTTATTAAATGTTTAACAATTTTCCCTCTTTCAGACACCAGACTGGTCCTAAGTGCCAGGAGACTTCCATAACAAGTTTTCTCCACCTTAGCTTTCCAGCAACATTTTGCAACACTCATGAATCCTGTTGTTACAAAGCATTGCTTAGTTTGAATTACACCCCTTTGTTGGTCCACAGCATACTTATGAGTTTGGAAGGATTTTCTTTTTGCTCAAGGCTGTAATCAAGTTTTACAGTCTCTCTCTAAATCATTGCATGTACTTTCCATTGTAAAACTCTATTTTTAACTGAAAAATGTAAAACACTTTGGGCAGATGGAGAGAGAGAAACTCCACATATTAGTCCTGGCGACCTGCAGTAATATCACAGGTCATGGGTTCATGTTATAGTAACAAAATTTGCATTTCTCATCTATTTACAAGTGGGCCTACCTCTCACACTTAAAGGTATGTGAGAGAAAATACACAGAAATATAGCTGCTTTGCTATGCCATGGGAAGTATTAGTCCAGCACTGTCTTGACCTAGCCCTGCCTTTTACAGGCAGTTATGACAGTTATGTCATATCAGTGTTGCACAGCAAATCTTAAATTTCTTTCTCAGATAGTTCTTTGTTGACATTGATATGAATATGACTGAGTTTGGATGAAGGAATTGAGGAAGCTCTTGGTGATAAGGTCAATTATAAAATCTAGACTTAAATGTTTTCCATAGGGGAAGAACTTATATAGGATTAGCATATCAGCAAAATTAGTGCTGTAATTTTGACAGCATGCTAGAGAAATAACACACATAGGGAAAAGAAAGATCCACTTGCCTGGTGGGTGTTGCTGCCTGGATTATGTATGGAATTAAACTGTTTCATGTGCATTCGAGCTCTTGAGATATCCCTGAGGGACCGAAAGATAACGTCCACTGCATTTGTGGCTTTCTGAGATGTCAGGTTTAGCAACGAGTCACAGCCTAAAGGAATAAAGAAACATGGAGCTGAGTAAGTGAAAAACTTTCAAGTGTTTTGATAATAACCAGTAGCAAAAGGACAGTGGGAGGAAATATTAAATTAGTTTAATCATGTAGTATCCTAGAAACTCAGGAGCTTGTTGGGCAGCATGTGCTCAGCCTGGCTTGAATCTCCATAGCTAAGCAAGAAGGCATAAAACCCAGACAGGAAGCAAAGGGAAGAGCACCTCTCTAACCACATTTGCAACCTAAATCATACAGCAATTTCATCAGTGCAGGGTATATTTTGCTCTCTGCAGCAAACAGACGATCTCACACTAGCAGGCTCCGCACATAGAAAGGAGCCAGCTGGTCTGCTGGTCTCCTCAGGGTGAAGTAGCCATGAAGAGAGGAATTGCTCCTCACACATCACACCTGCAACCTGCTGACTCCAAGTGCATTTCCTACTTTTGCAACAAGAAAAGCGGGAGGTCTGTGCTAAATACAGAATACACACTGGAAAGAGCTGTATTAACATAAGCAGTCCTTATCCCTCAAACTGACGCATTAATTAATTTTAATGTATTTTGCCAAAGCATTTCTGCTAAGATGTAATGCTTAGTTTTCACTGAGGCCAAACTCCATTTAGAGGACCATGTAAAAGCTCCCTCCATGTGGCCAGGCAGTGCCTCAGAAAAGAGCAATTCTTAGCCTTGGTTCCACCTCCCTCACCACAGGATCTATATTGCACAGAAATGTTGAAAAAAATGCTTTCTTAGCTGACCTGCTGATGAGAATCAGCTAAGTGAGAGACAACTGAATCACATGGCATTTTTATTGCTATCTCAGGACAGCTCTACACCTTTTAACACCTCTGCCTGCCTCTCCTCTTGCTTGACTCCTTGTCCCAGTGGTGGAAGATCCAGCACAAAATAACCCTTCCTGCCACATGCACACACAAACACACACTCACTCCTGCTTATGGCCAGTGTATTCTCCCCACCCCCTGCCACTGCAGTCAGTCTTGCACTGGCAAACCTCTATGTTGAGCAGAATCCTGCTGACAGAATGGGGTTTCCCCACAGGCCATGGAACCTGCCATAATGGCCATTTCTTTCCTTTAAAAATGACAGAAGATGGAGTTTTTATGCACTACAGGAAAAACAAAAAAGGCAGTACAAATTTAAAAAATTTACAGTGGAGTCCTAACTGGCAGTTAATCTTGATCACTCACATCTTTGCACTCTATACAGCAGAATATATATACATAATAGACACACATACACACACACTTATAGAGGACTGAAACTATTCCTACGAACTGGTGATTAGATACTGAGCTTTCATTTGTCTGATAATTATTTGTTGAAAGGCTCCAAGTCAGATCCCCAGCTGGTGCATTAGAACAAGTAAAATGACTGTACCTCTGCATGGCTACATCGGTCCAAGCTGCTGAGGATTTATGCCATTACAACCCACGAAGCAACAAAGCAAACACAAACAGGGCCTTGGTGACTTGTGTGTTGCAATTCTAAGACAGACAATCATACATTTTTGGAGAGAGCTCTTTAAATATCTTTTTTTTTTTTTTTTTTTTTTTTTTTTAAATGAATGCAAAATAACTTACAAAAATGTTTTTATTGCTATGTTTATACAAGATCTGTGTGCTCTGACACTCAGATTGACCAAAACTTAGTTTATCATTTGAGGGAGGAGCCTGTGTGTTGTCAGTGAAAGCCCTGAACACAAAACACTCTGCAGCTCCTTACCCCACTCCACTGGTGCTGTCAAAATCAGATATGGCTCCTGAGAGTGATCTTGTGCTGGTTTATGCGCAAGGGAACAGTGTCCAACAACTGAAAAAAGTGAAACTGAACACCTACTGGAGAGATGAGGTGGATAAAGTCTGAGGTGACAAATCCTGGTCTGTATTTATCACTAGAACAGGCAAAATATTCAGAGATCTTGTATTATCAGTTTGCTTTCACCTTGCCCATGGGAAAACATAGGCATGAGAAAAAGGAGCAGTCTCTGTTAGCTCCCAACTCAGAGGCTTTGCAAACGTAATAGTAATATTTACAAAATATTTTACAAAGAAAAATAAAAATGGAAGAGCCATATCTCATTATTTTATGATTAGATTTTTGTTCTCTCCAAGACACAAGATTTCTCTATTTTAGTGGCATTAGAGGTAAGCAGCTCCTAGCTAACGTAGTTTTATTTCCTCTGTCCTCTCTTCAATCCTTTATCAGCAAAAGCCATTGCTTTTGACCAAGCCACCTCTGGAATATTCCCTTTTGCTAGTGAATGCAAGTGCCTCATGTTGAATAAGTTCAGGTAAGGTAAAAATCACATCAAATTTGATGTGTTTTGCTCACCCTTCTCTTTTTTTTCTTAATTGTTTATTTTCTTGGAACATTGAAAAGCTTTTTGTTTTGGCCCTACAGCTATTTTTTCTCAAAAAAATAAGTATTTGTTTCCTTCTCCTACTGGCAACACTTACCTTTCCCTTATTTTAACAAGAGCCTTTTGGCCAGGAAGTTTCAAACTTGCTTGTCACCTCTCACTTGTGGAATTGCAGGGCAGTTTCCAGTGGACACAGCCTGGCTTTGTGGCTGGAAGCCTCTGAGATACTCCTCACCCTGCCTGGCTTGGTGCAACCCGCTTTGCTTTTTGTCACTGGGTTAATATTCTCTTGAGCAACTTCTCAGTGAAGGGCAGCCTCTAATACCACTCACCACTCGAGCCTCACTGACAGGGAAATGCTGCCTGAGCTCAGGCTTTGCTTTACAGCTGGTGCTGACGCACGGGTGGGCTGGAGGAGGCCATGACATTATTGACCCTCACCATCTGTTTAACAGGCCCCATCACTTCATTACTGTCACCTGAACCAAAACAAGAACCCTGGCTTGCTGTGCAGTGTGCCAGCACCAACTCACTCTTCATGTTCAACCATGCCTCCCAGCAGACCTGAGTGTATCTCATTTGTGCGCTTCCAGTCTTCATGGCACAGCATAATGCCGGACCAAATTCAGAGCAGGGGAGAAATGGGAGTTGAAGCTCCAGTCCAGTGACAGTTTAAGGCTGACCAGAAGGAGGGAAAAAAAGGTGTATTTTCAAATATTTCTCGAAAATGTGGCTTCCTTGGGACTTCCAATGAGCTGCCTGGGAAGTCATAGTCTGACACCCAGGTCTTCTATTTTTCAATGTATATTAAAGAATACGCTTTCTTTGCCATCCTTTTTTTGAGATTAATAACAAGAACATCAGGTTCTCAAAAACTGCTTTGTACCTGTCACACTTGGGAGGGAAGCCCTGTTTCTCTTCAGCCTGGAGAACAAGAGGAGCTTGTGTTGTACAAATGGCAGACAGCTACAAATCACCTCCCGTTCACACCTTCACTGTGAATGGGGCTGTGTGTGCATATGGGAAGCAGAACACAATCCCTCTTCTCTGCCTGCTTCATGCTACAAAAAAATCTGCTCCTTTTACAACAGTGAAGGGATGGAACATGTTAGCTGCTGCGCAGCTCATGTGCTAATTAAAACAAGACTTCCTGTTACTGTTTTTTTTTCATGGGAAGCTAAATGGCATTAGGAGAGCATGCTGAACAAATTCCTTTGAAACCCAAGCCCTATTATATATGGCAAAAGGCATTTAAATGAAATTGGGGGATATTGCTTTCCTGTCAGACTTGAAGAAGCCCAATTGTGGAAGAAAGAAAATCACCATTAACCCAGGTGGGACTAAAGATTTTAAAGTGCATATCCAGGATCTTGATGATATCCCAAGAACACAATCCATTTCTGCAGTAAGCAGTGCTCAGCCCTGCTGATTGCTTCTGTTCTGCTTCCACCCACTTGTGCTAGATTCGAGAGGAGTCAGAGCATCAGGAGCTGCATCTAGTGCCTAGCAGGATGAGGCCACCAGCCCTTATTTTTTACCAACTTTTAAACTTTTCCATCAGAGAGAACACATTTCCTCTGCATAACCATTAGTGCCAGAACTAATCCATTTGCACTAGAAACTTGAAAAGAGGAGAATGAAGATGTTCTTCTCTACCCAGAGAAGGGTACCCAGAAAACCAATTAGACCAGTTCTTCTACTGATTTCTGAAACTGAAAGGAAGATACTCTAAGTAAAGGACATAAACATTGTGAACCCATGAGATCTAGAATTATACAGTGGCATGTGATTGATTATTCCCTCCTTGAATGCAAAAAAATTAGAATTTCAGACTTGTGTATCAGAAAACCTTTCATTGTGCTTTTGGTGTCTGGTCCAGGCATTATAAACAAACTTGTTCTTTCTCTAAAGCAGTATTATAATGATTAACTCTTTGTGAAGATCTTTGATGTTTCTGAGACATCACTGAAAGGCTATGATTTGTACAGTTAAAAATTTAGGGAAACTGAAAATGTACCACTTTACTCTGTTTAATTTGTATTTACTTAGACTCTAGCTTATTTTACATTACATTTACAGAAATTTACAGAAATTAACCAATATAAACCCTGAAAACCCTGGAATGTACCTAGCCAAACCATTTTAAAGGCACACACTGAAGCACAGGCTAAACCAGAAAACTGGTACTGCAATGAAGAGAAAAGCCAGCATCAGGATTGCATTATGCAAGCTGTGTTCTAGATATAAAGAGTTACTTTGCTTGTCAGTGAAATTCAAACAAAGAACAGAGATACAGGGTGCCTTGAGGGTCAGAACTCAAAATAGAGCACTATGATATTAACCCAATGAACATATTTTATTTTTATACTTTAGATGATAGCATAGCAATGGGGGCCCTTCTTTTTCAAGCATATAAATATGCATATGCATACTCACAGCCATATGTTTTACAATAGTTTTGATATTTCACACTTTAAGATTGTTATGAAAAAGTAGGTACAAATGCATATGGTGACACAGACCATGGCTCTTTTTCTCAAGGGAAAAAAAACGTGTAAAAACCAAAACTAGGATGAAATTTGTGTGATTCCCCACAAGAAGAGAGCATCCAGAGTGTG